CACCTACCAGCGAGTTCTTAACCGCCGACGAAATATAAAAGTACACGGTACAAGTACACAATATGAAAGTACACTACACGGCAGTACTATATCAAAATCTTAAGCTTCCGGCCTTTTCGAGGAATGTGATATAAAGTCGGATATTTCAATAGGCTCTTCTGCCGAATTTTTTCTTTTTCTTTTACTTTCTTTGTGCAGTTCGGTTAAGATAATTAATTTATTGTAAATATTTAGTGCGTTAAGAAACATTACTTGTGACATTTGCTAGCTAAATCCACAAGATGAATCAAATCATAAATTGAGTACTCTTCTCAGTGCTCCCCCTCCTTACAACAAACATCAAATTGTTATAATCACATTGCTTTATTAATTGGAAACAATATTCTGAATACTTTTTCCTTAAATTTTATTTTAGATTATCCCAATTTCAAACATTTGTTCTTTTTTTGCTAGTTTATTGGTGCCTGTAGCAGAATACTGGAAGTGGCCGCAAGCGTATAGACGAGAACGAATCCACCTTATTTGAGGAATCGGTCTCAGGAACCTAAGAAAATAACTTTGAGAGAGAGCGCACGCGGTATAATTATAAACGCACAAATACTTTAACAGGATTTAATAAAATATAAAGACCAGCTGACATCCTATCAAATCTACCAAACCTTAAACGAAATGAAGAAGTTACGCCTGGAGCGTAATAGACGTCACTTCTCTATATATTTTAATATAGTACAAATATTATTTATTTATATTATATATTCTATATTATATACAAAGTTTGTAACTTTGTATATAATATACAAAGTTACAAAACCGCCAGGTCTTACCAAAGGACACATTTTTACCAAAGATCGAAAAGACACGAAGGACATGTTTTCAGTAAAACCTGTAGCCCATTTCGAGATTGTTTTCGGTGAATCTGTGAAATCTTTATTCGAAACTCCGATAATCAATCTCCGGCCGTGCTATTCGATACTTCAAACTTATGTTCGAAGCAATCAAACTTTTGAAGCTTGTTCATAAAAAAAAATTTTGAAATCTTAAAATTTTTGAAACTTCAATATTTAGGTAAATTTGAAATTTATTAATTTTCCGAAGTTGGTTGGTCAAGAAATTTAAAATCCTCGAACTCTATTGTACAGAAACCTTTACAACTTCCAATTTTTTTATTTCGAACGGCAGCGGCTTTCGAAACATGCGTACTTATCGAATCTGACTGTAGCAAGTTTTGACATTTTCAAACTTTTTATACCTAGAACTTCAGCAGGTTTGCGGCATCCTTAATCATTAATAACTTACTATTCTTTGTGAATGTATGGGTGGCCGTTTTATGTGGTTGAAAATGTCTACTCTGAGTATGAACCTTGTTGGTGAATAGCAAACAAGCTTGTTGGAATGTCATCATCTGTTTTAAAGCTTGGTGTCTGTAGCCGGCTCGAACTAGGGTGACCACCCGTCCCGCGACTCGCGGGACTGTCCGGCATTGAGGGCTTGTGTCCCGCGTCCCACGAGCGAATTCCCAAACCTTCAAAATGTCCCGCATTCATACTGTAGTAAAATTCACTCTGCAACTTATGGCGCTGCCGAACAATGGGGCACGGGGAAGCCCGGAGGTTACTGGTAATCGTGTGAATCGCAATGATACACCATTTTCTATTCAAGCATTCCGGAAAGCGACAGTCGTTCTTGAAGGAGAACCGACGCGCATGCTCCGTTGTGCCTGTCCCCCTGGTGGCAAATTATTTTAAGAAAGATAGCTTGCCAAACGTTTTAATATAAAATATTGTAATTATTTTCAAATTGCTCTGTCAATGCAAAAGGGTTACTGTGGATCAATGTTTTAGTGAACACGTCCACACAAGGCAGAGCCTGCAACTGGGAACGGTCGAAAAAGAACATAATGTTAAAACGTTGTGTTTGACTATGCTGATAAAGGTAAGCGTTAACAGGAAACAATAACCCGAAAGAGATTTAATGTTTCTTATTCTTATCTGATGCATTGAGTTCGGCTGCAGTCGATATTTATGTTTTCAACTTCGACACATTTAATAACACATTCACCATAAGAGATATATTACTTTTAGTAAAAATTAATTGAGCTTAATTGCTGCAATACAATTAGCAGGTGTATAAACACCACATGATGTTAAATGTATTAACAAAGCCTCGGTTCGTGGTGTGTGTGTTAATGAATTTCCTCAACCCCCCGCCCGTTTCCCGCATTTCGCTAGCAAGAAGGTGGTCACCCTAGCTCGAACGTTCAATGTATCCCGATTATTATTAAATAAGAATTGTACGGAAATGTGCACTGTTTTTATTCCACTTCGTACCATGGGACTGCCCAATTATTTATGTTCTAGTTTAAGACGTTTTACAAAATTCTCAAAGAATGCAGATTTATATAAATATCAAAATACCGACAATTTTTTTTATAAGCAGACGGGGAAAGTAAGACCATCCTAATTTAGGCTGCAATACCCCACATCGGAGGGAAATTATGAAATGACCGAGAACGAAACGAGGTTCACGGGGGTACCTTATATGGGCTGTGCATAAAAAAAAAAAAAAACTGTGGGCCCTATAAAGAAAACCCTTCCCTACTGAAAAAAAAAAAACATTTTGCAGCTATATGAAAGTAAACGGTTCCATACCGGTAACAGTTTAACCATACCGGCCACCAGTTTGTCAAAGGGGTCGCTCGTATGGCTCAAAGGGCTTTTCCGTATGAGCCATAACGGTCGCGCATTTGGGCAAACAGGTCACTTCTTGGGCAAACGGGTCAGTTGTCTGGGCAAATGGGTGACTCGTTTCGGCAAAGTTTTCGCACGTTTGCTCAAACCAGTGACCATGCATGTTGCACAGACGGGTGACCAATGACCGGCAAGCTGTACCGGTTTAATCAAACGGCTCTCCGGAGCCCATTTAATACTGAACGTACAGATCAGGGGATATGGGCACGCCAGTTTCAGCTGTGGCAGGCTATTTCGGGTAAGCCGGAAGCGCCAGTTCATCGATCTACAATCGTCCGCGTAATGCAAGTAATTACATTTATATTTTGATTGCGATGATGTTCGCTTATGCTGCAACAACAATCAACAATTTTTTTTTTTTACGTAAACATGCGACGTTGCTCAGCCGATATTTTTGACAGAACTTTAAAACTCTGGCGTTCTTCGTTGCATCAATTTACTTATTCAGTTCGAATTTCTCTCGCAGAGGGCTCTGGACACCGTTTCGCGTCAATTCAAGACGCAGCGAAAGTAGCGCGTGAACACGTGGTTGCACGAGCATCGAGCATTGCGAAAGCAGGCCCGCTGTTGCAGCAGTCAAATTACAAGCTCGCGCTGGGTGCTTTTTTCGCTCGGGCCCAAGCCGAGCTTCTGGCCGGCGCGCGCCATTTCCACCGTTTGTGCGCGCTGAAAAAATTCGCCTGCTTTCCGAGGCTGCAAACGCGGCGCGGTCAGCTTTCTGTGGAAATCCCAAGACAGCAGGAAAGCGCGTGTACAGCGATTGGTGCACGTCTCGCCTCGCATTGACTGCAAAAAAGAAACTAACCGCGAGTTTTTTAGTTTTTTTTATCTTTTCTTTTTGTAAAAAGCTGGGGGGTGTCCCGGTGTCCTGGGCCTTCATCTCGCCCCCTCCCTCCTCTCTGGTCAGCCCTGTCACGTGACCCGGGAGAGGGGGGCGGCAGCCGCTTTTGTTTTTTGTCTGCTTATTGTCCTGTGCAGTTCGAAATTCGTTCGTCCTACCTGCTTCGATCCGTCGCCTTTTCTTGCGGTCTTATTAGGATGTCTCTCGACAACTTATTGGATGAGCACCAAAGCTATCAGTGTTCGAAAAGTCCTACGCTTATATCGGCAACAAGCGATTCTGCGAAGAAGTCAGGAATTCTTGCGATTTGGTTTGGTTCGGCAAATGACAGCTTTTGCGCCACACCGTGCTGAAACTTCAAGGAGCCTTCCTTCTTGTTTTTATGTGTGTGCGGTTGTCCTGCATTGACTGTGTCGACAGATATTTTGCATTACATCTTTCAAGTCCGCTTTATTAGGGTAAGTGCACTGCAACTTACTTGTTGGCAACGATTGATCGTTCTACGCGTACTCTTCCAGATTATCTATAGAATTATGCAGCGTCTAATCTTGCGGCAGCCGGGAAAATAATTTCCCCCAGAGTCTGCCATTATAGTCTGAAATTATCTCGGCTGTATAAAAGCTTAGAGTGCCTCTTCACATTTCACAGATCGCTTGCACGTTTGTACTTGCTTACGGAATAAGTTGTAATAAACTTCTAGGTGAATTGAAAATCATCTCTTGTGTCTGTTTTCCTGCCCATTTGCAAGCACCTGCGCGAGCACGATTTTTTCCACATGTTTCCTCCAAGTTAGAAATAGGTCTATGAGTTTAAGATGACCAACATTCCAGACGATACCGATTTAGGGCTAGCGAATAATTTGCGAATCCGAATGGCGCGTTCACATATGTGGTCACGTGCCTGGTTGAGCGGGCACCCGTATCAAACGGGCACGGGCATCAAACGGGTACCCGTATCCCATAATCATGTTTGATCCAAACGGATACACAGGTTTGCCACCCATTTGATTCAAACTGGTCGATCAGTTTCCCACCCGTTTGAACTTCAAATGTTTTTTTTTTCTTTTTTGTCAGCAGGGTTGTTAGCTGCCGACATCTTCTTTGGGCCGCAAGCTGCGCCCAATGTGGGCTGCCCATGTAGGGCTCCTGTGGGTCTCCCGAGGAGAGCCCACTTTGCACTAATGGGGTATGTGCGCTCCTAGGTAGAGGTCCATTATCAGAATAACTAAGCAAATGCTAGTGCGTCGAAATATTCTTATAATAATTTTTAACGTTTAACAAACGCCGACTGTTTTCAGTAAGCTAGAACATGCTGAATAATCAATTGTAATGTAGTTATGTTTAAATAAAACGCTGAACACTCCGCTGTGTTCTTTCGTGTCTTTATTTTTCAATTCTCAATGAACATGTTTATTACCAGAGCACGCATTTTTGTCTTGGGTTCATCTTTCGATCGTTTCTGCAGCTGAAAGCGCTTGAAAATTCGACAGAGTTCATCAAAGCCACATTTACCCTGTAAATAAAAGAACAATGTTTTGCGCGAATTAGTATTAGAAAGCGTATACACCAGGACACGCGTTGAAAATAGTTTGCTACTATTAGTCTAGTGAACCATGTCACAGAAAGGTGCAAAATATTATCACCAACCATCAACGCTGTTAGCTTAAATTGGTAGAGTACGTTGGTATTTTGATTTGAACAATTGTGATAATATATAAATGTTAGTGGTTCCTTCTTACAAATTATTTTTAAGTAGTCAGCAACTCCAGGGGCCTGGCTATTCAAAAATCCTAAGTAATAAAAGGAACTTCTTTTTTTACCAGAAACAAGTTTTGGCTTTATTTTAAAATTCATGCTGATCGAATTATTCTTGTCTTGTTTTAATGCTTAACGTCGGTTGCGGCCCGATTCGCGCTGCTGCGAACGTCACCGCTCCTGCCGCGCTTTCCACGAAAGGGTACGCGACCGACCCATCGTGAGTCCAAACCGAAACTGATAAGAGCGTAGGGAACAGCCCGCAAAACAGACGAGGACCAAGAAACACACGTGGCGAGCGCTGCGGTCGTCATGTGTGTTTCTTCTTCGTCCTTGTCTGTTTTTTCTCGCTGGTTCCTACGATGAATTCCCACCAACGTGCCGCTCAACTATCCATTCTCCTATGATAGCTGGAAAGGTTGCCGCCATCTACGAGCGACGGCGGCAGCCATACTGGTTGTGTGCTTGCCGCCGTCGCTTATAGATGGCGGTAGCTGTTCAGAGGTGTTTTTGTCGACAAGTGTTTTGTACCGGACATGATCCTCAGGAACCTGCCCTTAACAGCTCCGGTAATAGACTGGCGCGGTTGGTGGCTGCCTTGTTCTGTATCAATCCCGTTTTTTTTCTTCTTCTCGTGTTTAAAAGTATTGTAAAACCAATGCGTCCTACGGCTTTTCGAAAAGAAAATCCGGACTTTATAGAAAAATACAAGTTTTTAGCCTAGTTATAATTCTGAGTCTTGTGGTTTCTGGTAAGTATTAACTACACTCTTAACGGCGTACCCTCTATGGCTACCTATAGACGAATTAAGCTTCTATTTTAGAAGTTACAAAGTCGTTCTTAAATGTTTCATACCATTTTCCGTTGCCTTAAAGATTAAAACCGCGATTATTTATTTATCCTTTTTTTTTGAGGGGGGGGGGGGGGGGTCTAGTATCAGATTTAGTGGTTACGCTGCGGTGGCAATCAGTTCGTCGAACGACGTTTCGTGGACCAATCGTTTCGTCGACAGTGCGATGTTTCATCGACAGATCATTTCGTGGAAACGAGCGCCCGCTCGTTTCATCGACAGACGTTGCGACGTTTCGTCGACAGCTCGCTATGCAGCTCCGCCAGCTGCGCCTCCGCGTGGCCCCTGCGCCTGCGCGGCGCGCAGTCTTCCGCTGGATGGATGGATGGATGAAAGACGGCCGACTGGGCCAAGAAGGGCGAACCAGTGCGTAGCCATCTTGGCCCACCAACTTAAACTATGTATATATTTTTTTTTTACCGATTACACTGATATCGGAACTAACGATTTGTATGGTTTCGCTCGCGTCTTCGCCCGAACCTTTGGGGAAGCGTTGCCGAAGCCGGAAAGTTTTGTTCGCGAACATTGTCCTTTATCAAATTAGATTCTTAAAACATTCAACATTCTGCGCTGCTCATGAGGGCTACGCTTTCCCCAACATGCCTGATCGACGCGCCTGTACGTCATCAAATGCAACCCTTCGCGGGCTGGCCGCCCGCACTGCGACTGTTTTGACGAAGTGGCAGGGTCGTTTCCAGAGAAAGTGTATCTTTCCGCGCGTCGCGTCTTTTGGTAGAATCTTCAAGAGCGTCCTGAATACTCCCCACGTCAAAATATAGAAAGTTCCCACGTCAAAACACTAAAGCTCCTAAAAAAAAAAGTTTGAAAGAAAAAACGAGGCCTGTTCGCGGTGCACACAGCTATTCTATCATTTTCGACGAAACGTCACAGTGTCGACGAAACGTGTGCCCATGAAACGTCTGTCCAGGAAAAGTTGTCCATGAAACGTAATTCCACGAAACGAGTTTCAACGAAATGATAGGGACCCGTTATGCTGCGACTCTTGTGTAACATTGGACAAGAACGGGAAACATATACACGATTGACACGATTGTTTCTTTTTGTTTCCTCCCGAAAAGATAACAATACCCCTGTCAGACGGGAAAGTAAGTGTCATTTTGATCGAGTGTCATTCACCGCTCGGCGAATCAGCTGGTGATCCTGGTTCTGCGCGTGGCGCGTGCACGCGCCGCGTGGCGCGTGCACGCGCCGCGTGGCGTGTAATACACGCGGATTGGCCTACTTGTAATGTCATTTTGCTTAAAATTCATTTAACGTGCCCGTCTGACAGGGATATTAGAAAGGAAAAGGGTGAGGGAAGGGCCAACACGTGCAAGAAGGAGACAGAATAGGAGGGAGAGTGAACACAACCGTTTTAGCTCAACGAATTCCGAAACTATAGAGACGTAACCTCACGTGACCAGACACTTTGGCGCCTTCACCCCTTCACTACCATCGCCACTGACACTTCAATTTCGGAGGGATTGCAATTGTGGCCGCGCGCGGCTGTTATGCATGCTTTCGGATCGGAACTCGTCGTCGCTGCTGTTTCATCTGGACTACTCTAAGACGACAAATCTTCACGAGGTATGCTTGACGTTTGGCTAGTGAGAAAAATGTTAATACTCGACGCAGTATTGAATCTACATCACAGCTTCGGTTCACGTTCCTATACCGAATGTTATTTTATGCAGCTTGGCTTTGAATCCGAGTTGATATGCCAAAGGCAAGAGTCGGCCCTCGTGGACGTCGGGATCAATGCAGTCAACATGTTTCCGGAAATGCACGGAAAGCGCTGTTTTTTCTCTGACGTTGAGCGACACCTGAAGCTAGCTGGAGCGAAGTACCTCTTGATCAACCATGTACGGTAGGTTTCAATACTCATTTTGTGCTTTGTCTTGCCCGATATTTCCATTATCAAGTTGAATACTTCTGATGTATATGATTTATGTAAGTAACAATATAACGCCTTAGGTTAGCAAAATAGTGAAGACTGGAACATTTATTACATGCAGGCAGACTATGTCGCCTTGTTCTACTTTTAACGAGAGACAAAATCCACATACTGTCAGACCAATATTGATAAACGATCAGCACACCAATGATTTGAAAAAATCCACAAGCTCGGCGAGGTAATTTCATTTTTGTCTGTTCATACCGCAGGCAGAGGTGCCAGACAAACCTCCTTTGTCTGTCCATCACATATACGCAACAGTTGAAAAGATTGTGATTTACGGCACAAAACAAGGACAACGTTCCACCGAGTTATTCGTGCACACTGTTGAAAGCCCTCGTGATCGCACTTGCGCAGCTGTTGATACTGCTCCAAAAACTGCTTTTGCACAAGAGCACTGCACCCCGACGGTTATAAACGGAAAACTGAAAGCATTGCTGGTTAAGCTGGGGCAATGAAGACTTCTGTGACCTATGTCGAGCATTTTCATGCATTAAAAGATCATTCATTTTGGAACATCATTGTGAACGGGGCGTTTCATTTTTTTGTAATTATTTTAAGGCTTTGACAATAAAGAGAGTAGTTTTCAACATTTGTTGCATTATTTATGCTACCCAAGCTCATACTTTTATGTGGGATGTTCATATTCAGCAATCAGCGAGCCTATGTAAGCGTAAAAATGACAAGGGTCACAGTCAACTTTAAATGAGGGCCGATTATAGGGCGAGGGACGTGCTTCGTGTTTAATTTTGCTGCTAAAACCTATATTCAAGGAGGGTCTTAAATTGGCGAAAATGACTTTCTGAGAAGTATACATAAGTAGATAGTATATAAAAAGCGTACTTTGCATTTTTTCTGGTGTTTTTTCAAGAAAAGGGTGCATTGATAAGTGCACGCAGTCTTTACCGCATTTTTGTGGGGCTGGGCGGACTACTGCGTTGAGGGTAGTAGTGTTTGTGGTTACACTGTAACTCCCATATTAAAAGGTACAAATTTCCAAACACGTACCCTCTACTAAAGGTTACCCTTTTAAGAGTGTAATAATGAAATCTATTAGCAATGGTTCGTTTGAAGAGAAACTAGCTTTTAGCTAGTAGAAATTTGCTAACCTATGTCTCGGGACCGTGTGGGGGTCTGCACGAATAAACTGTATCCTTGCGTCCGTGGTCATTTTGTTGCAGAACATCTGTGACAAAAGAAGTTGGAATAACGTGTGTTTATAGAGGTAATACAGATTGACCAGAAAATAATATACATTATAGGGGTAAATTTAGTTCGCATGTTCGTTCCTGGACCTCAATTTTAGAATGTTTAAACTTTTAATAGGAGCTCAAAACAAGTTTCAGAGTTAAGAACTTCATAATTTTCAAGCATTGGGCTCAGACGCATTATTAAATTAGTAGCGTCAACAAACGTTTTGGCAAGGGTTCCGGATTGGGGACCTGTTGCAGACTCAATATTAAATTTAAGAAAGTAAACCAAAAAAACAACTGAATAAGCACTCATTTAACTGCAAAAATTTAAACTAGACAATAAATTCAAAAAGAAATGTAATTCATATACTTTGTTTTTTTAAATGAAATATTTTGACATTCACTAACTAGATTACAAAATAATTGTGACCATGAGATCTCACCAAACATAAATCAAATTGCATAGAAACTACGGCATATTCACACAGGACAGAATACTAATGAAAACGGTAGATCAGGAAAGAACAGTAAGCGTGAGACGCACGAAAACGCAAAAAAGTTTCTTTTTTTTTTTTTTTTTTTTTAGCTACGCAAATATGAATTAGGATACTACGAATAGTAACTCTGGTAATGACAGTGTACACTAAATAATATACCCATAAACTGGCGTTCGGACACAATTTCCTAGGCATGTGGAGATAGTGTATTTAGAGTTTTAATGGAATTTGAAGCGAAGAGAGGTTTTGCCCAAATATTTTTTAATCGAATATAAAATAGTTTCTCTAAGTATTTCAAGTCGGCCATGCCTAAAGAAAAACCCATCTGAACTCGCAAAAGGTTATTCCGAAGCGACCCCTTGTTCATATCTAAGCTAAGCTAATTTTATTATAACTATATTTATTAAGTGTGACTTCGGAAAATTTGTTGCTTAAATGGGACTGGCAAGTAAACGATGTATTTCACATAAAATCAAAGCTATAATGATGCCCAGCTATACATATTCGAAAACTTATAAATGTTTTTTTTTTTTTTTTAGCGATGCGAATATTTTTAAATAAATCTAGAATTTCGAGACAAAAACAAAAAACAAAGAATTCCGAATGATGCTCGTAAGTGTTCTGGACATCTTTGCCTTACATATACTCTATCATAATAGCCACCGTTAAATTCTGAAAATTTTACTGTATTGCAATTATCAACATTCACGAATTTTCCGTTTCTTTTTCCATACACCACGCGAGCGCGTGCACCATCTCGTTTTGAAAGTGGGCTTTCCTCTTAAACTGCAATAATAGTACTTTTGGAAATGTTCATCGTGGCGAGTTAGCCCCGTTGGGCCCGCTTCTTACCGAGCACCGGATAACTGCGGAGAAGCAACACCCGCGGAAGCGAGCTCCCCGGATGTTACTTCTCCGCAGTGCATCGGTGCTCGGTAAGAATCGCGCCCAACGGGGCTCACTCGCCGCCATCAACACTTCGAGAAATACGAATATCTGAGTTCATCTCGAAGCGAATATCGAATACAGTATTAATCGACAATATTGAATATTCACACGACACCAATGTTTTTTCTAATCGTTTTTGATATCTTCGTTTGCGCTTTCCGTGCGTGTCGCGCCACCGATTTATTTTACGAGCCGTTGTTTTTTGCGTTGGTTCAGCGGGCCGCGGGCTGGGCGTCGTGGCAAAGACCGCAACCATCCCTGGGCTGCCCGGAACGCCTCCACGGGACGAACCTGGCCCGCGGGCAGGGTTCGGTAACCCCTGGTTAAGTGCAATAAAGAATAACTAGGCATTCTTTCGCCCGCATATGACCACAATTCTTTTCAGCAGCATGCAAAGTCTGAACTGTAGAGAAAGTGGCTGAAACCAATTTAACAACGTAAAAAAAGCACTCATATTCGCGAAATGTTCCTCCGTTCCTAAGCCATACATGGTGTTTCAACTAACTTGGGGACAAGAATAAAAAAACAAAGCTGGTGCACGCCATACGTGTTAAACTAACGCAGTATTTTGCGAAGTCCTACGTGCCGACAAAGTGAGGGAGAGGAGGAGATGCGAGGGTGCGGGGACGTCAGAACGTCGAGCTCTGATTGGAATGATTAGTTTTGTACAGCTAAAGCTAGCTGCCTGTCTCTCCACTGAGTCATTCCATGCCAAAAAAGACAGGGCAATTTTTATGTCTGGGATGTGTACAAAGAGTTCATATGTTTTTTTCTTAAAAAACCTAAAATCTAAAAAAATTTGTAAAAAAAAATGTTTTTTTTTTGCTGATGTCACGCTTTATATTTTTTGGAATTTTATTAAAACCCATGTGGTCAAGAAAAACATTGCCTAAAACAGTTTAGTGCCACACAAATTTAGGCGGCCGCCTAATTACTTAATAATATTTCCTATTTTAGACCAAAATCCAAACATGGAAATACGCCATTTTTAGTCGAAATGGAACAGAACCTTTTTTTTCTTTTTTAAATTATTTTAGTTAATCTGAAGTTGGGTGTTTGTTAAGACATTCTTTGTCTTTATTCTTTTAAAACTGATAAATGAATTGCGTGTATTAAATTTTTAAACCCTTGTTTTGTTGCGTTTTAAATAAATGGCAAAATCTCCAGTTTGCGCCGAAACAGCCATATTTGAGAGCCAGAAAAAAGCACTTTTGGCAGTGATACCCACAACTTTTGAAATAGCCAAAATATTAATTCCTTCTCATATGTTCAACCACAGACTCCTATACACTGACAAAGTCCGGCACGAGAAGCGGCCGGCTAAATGCCGGATAACGGATGAAAGGAGAGCCACGTGACTGGCGCCTCGCTGCGGCAAGACGCCGAAACCCGCTTCTCCCGAGGTAAGAAGTGTGTTTCGGGTCCTCGGCCGCTACAAAAGCTGTGTGCTGACGTCCAGGTTTCCCGAGAAAATGCCCTTTGATGCTTTGTGCTACCAGATCCTCGCGCTCCAAATCTGCGACCGAGCACTCTATGGCTCCGTCATCGAAGTGCCAGGCTTTCTGAGTATAGAGGAGGCTAGTGTCCAACATATATAAAAGCAGTTTGTTGTTGCTGAGGCGTGCCCGCCTCGTAGGCGGCACACGCCGGCGTTCGCCAGCGAGGCATCAACGGTACGCGACGCCGCAGCGAGGTCTTTAACGCTCTCATCAACACAGGATTTATTCAATTGAAGTGGACGTTATTCTCACTCCCATGCGTCCGTGTCCTCTTTACGTTACCTAATGATATTAGCGTCTTACTTCTACTCTACCGCTGCTCAGGTAACTGCCGACGAACGCAGGCCGCCATCGTCTACTTTCCAAATTTGGAAATGTACACTGCGCTCTTTCACTTATTCATACCGCTCTCCCTTTTTAACGCTTCAGTAGGAGGGGTAAAACATAAACTCAAAGCCCATGCTCAGATGAATAAGAAAAAAAGTCAGCAACGTCGGCAGTTCTCCCACAGCACTGCAGCACAAAAGGCACACGAGAATTTGTACCGAAAGCGACAGAAGTTTGGAGGCATCTTTATCCGAATTAATGTTTTTCGTACATATTACAGACAGGAAAAATTTACCGTGTCTCCTTTGGCATGAAATGACCACACTGCACGGGTTCCATTGCGAGAGAAAATCGCCGGACCCTGGCGTTCCGCGTTCTAAGCAGACAAAGGCTGCCTGTCTCTACCGCACTCGTCGAGCACCTTAGAAAGCCAAAGGCCGGCCTCCGGCGTTTGGTTCTTGCTTTCGAATGCGTTCGACGAGCAGAGTGGAGACAAAGGCGGCTGGCTTTAGGTGTACCCGCTAACCAATCCAACCAGAGCTCGGCATTCTCACGTGCCCTTAGCGCTCTCGCCTCCTCATCTTCCTAAGTTTCTCGGCGCAATTGGGCAAGCTAATATATGTTTTACAATACGTTAAATTGACAAATTAACATTGATTGACTAGCTGTTTTTTTGTAAAAGAATAGCATGTGCACAAAACCACCAATACAAAGTTGCTGTGCATGTTAAAACATACCATTGTGTCGTTGCCGTGAAAGAAGCCTTAGTGTCCCTAGTAGTTTAAAACATAAGAAAATGCGCTCGATAAAAAAAAAGAAAGCTCACGTGAATAAGATCACTAGCATCACAATTTCTCTACCGGGTAGCCAAGTAGGAAACTTATTGAAAGAACGGACAAGCAGAGAGAAAGCGGAGAGGATACGAAGGAAAGTGCGCAAACACCTCACAGATTTATTGTGAGGGATACAACTATACTAGGGAATGTCGAGATTGACAAACAAGAAAGATATGGAAAGTATATATTTAAAAAATAGCCCATCAATGTGACAGCCATTGCCATTCCTTGCTATCATTGAGTAAGAAACCAGTATCATTCCTAGCCAACACATACAATTAGTGATTTTGGCCGGCCTGGAATTTTTTTTTTATTTCATTGGATTTCCAACTTTGTTGTTTTTCTTTCTCTTTTGTTTAGCATAACTCAATCGTGTCTTACAATTTTTTTTCTTTTTATCAAGCATTTGTGTTTTATTTATAATGCCTCGTCTTCATCTTTCTTTAGCAATACATCAGTTGGGAGTAAGCGACCTGTCCTTCGTGTTCCCTTTATTTCTTCTCTGCTTGTGCGCTGTTTTAATATGGGGTCTACCTACCAACTAACTCAACTTTCCGCGTTAGTATGGTAAAATATAACCTTTCCTTTAAATCTCGTCCAATTTTCCTAAAGTTCGATAGCATCAAACACAAGTCTACCTTGATGAAAACGATTCGGTCGCACATCAGTCACCTAGCCGTGTTTGAAAATTGTGTTTCTCGTTCATCTTCCATCTTCCCCTTCTCCGAGAAGTATTATCTTTATTCTTGGCCAGCTCGCTTGCAGCTTTGCATTATTTGCATTAACATCATAACCTTGAAAGGCAGGCCGGACCGTTCCCCCATGTTGGTGTTAGACTGGTGGTAGCTGATAAAATCCGTTTGTTCTACAGGTGTCTAACTCCTGGTTAGATCATTGAGTAGAGCGCTCCACTGGAAATGGAAAGGCTCCTTGTTCGATACCAGGACCAGGCGGATTTTTTCAGTCGCACACGAATCACACATAGCTGTGTTTGGAGGTTTGTGTTTGTCCTTTGTCCCACTCGCTCCCCTTCTCAGAGATTATTATTGCTCTTATTATATGGTGGAATGTTTCTCATGGCACCCTGGAACACTTTTCTTAAAAATATTTTGCAAATAACATAATTTAAACATTTAGCTGATTAATTTGTGTTAATTAGCCAATTTGAAGCATAACAAAAATATCTTGACTTGCTCTATAGAACTGGGAACAATACTGTGTTTGCTTGACACGCCAGAGAGTCACAATATTTTAAAGCCTTCGCGAAATAGCTGACACACCCGGTAGTTTTAAAGTCAAAGTCGAATATTTTGGCTTACACTTCCAAATGAAATAAAAAAGAGCTGCTCTGCAGTGTATTTCTCAAGTCCAGGTAGCTTCACTCGGCTTGCAGGAGTCCGCGTTAGGGCCGTTTGCAGAGCCTGTAACGTCATCCATAATATTCATTAAAGTGAGCAGTTATCGCTATTTTCCGAAGCATTGTGTAGCGCGTTTGCAGATCATGTTCTCTCACAGAGGTGAAGTATTATGTTAATTAGCCATATAAATGATTTAAAGAGGTGCTAGCGGTTAAACAGCGATATAAGCAGGTTCTAGCGTATTACTTGAATCAAAAAAATCAATTGTTGCCTGCAATCCCAACTGAAACATGCTTAAAATGTATATTAGTTTCAGGAACACACAAAGTGTAGCGCAACAATCCCTTTTTTTTCTAACCCGAGCCTACGTTGCTAGAACTTGCGCATAAAAATAGCTATACATGAAAAAGAAAGATTTTACAAACAGGTAATTGAGCTAGAATATACAAAGCATTCGGAGCTCATGATTCATTATTATCTTATATTTTTTTGCAGTGTCAGTAATAAACTATCACCAAACTTACACTTGCCCTTCATGCACTTCTAATAAAAAAAAATGTTAACACAATTATGATGAACAAAACTTAGTGCCTTACAAATTTTCAGCTTTAATTAGTTCGATAGTAAGAAGTTTATTTGAAGTAAAAGGTATTCTATTTCGTTTTAAATTTAAGCAATTTGCAAGATGGGTGTATAAAAAATTACATTAGTACAGAGATCCCCAAACTCAATGCCGCCACGGGGTTATCCGGTTTTGGAACATTGTTCTATTTCTGCGTCTAACAGCCAAACTACGTAACAACGTGGTGAAGGTTTGGCTCTCCATTCACAACCCAGCCCGGGGAAAACATTCCAGCTTTTGCAGTGACCACTTTAGCTTTTGAATAGCCGGCAATAAAGAACTATTTCTGGTTGTTTAGTGGTGGCTGTACCTTTGATAAGCACTGTACTATCGCAGACAAAATGAGCTCGAACAGTTTTTCATACTCATCTGGCTTACCTGCAAGCTGTTTTTGTTTTACTGAGCTGTGGTCGTAACTGGGAATAGTATGTGACGTACAGGTACTTTACCTGTGACTATTTAATAAATGGAGATATAAGATTTACTTTGGGGACCGCAGACGTACACAGAATTGCGGGTTCAGTGGTTTCAACTCGTGTTTTGCGCGGAGGTAGATTCACGAAAAAAAATTAAATGCTTTTGCTTTAAAAAAAACAAAAAAACGTGATGTCATCTAAAATAATGGCGTAGTAAAAAGAACTCATGAGTCGCAAGAAACTAAGCGGTAAATTTGGTGTCCACCGAAACTCCGAAGTCGTGTTTGGGCCCATAGTGTCGCGCCGCGTTGTCGACCTCTCAGTAGTGTCAGCGTCATAAACTGGCATCCCTAGTGGCCCGTGTGCATCATCTCGTACTTCGCTACTCTTGATTCGGAAAGTGCGAACGCCTTCACTGGCGCCACTTGATACGCTCCCATTAGAGCTGCCGAAGATCACAGGTTTACCTTCATATGAATCGCCAGAAATACAATAGGCCTGCACACAATAATCTTGAACTATTTTGCCATTTAGAGTTTTCTGGTGGCAGCAAGACGACGGCTCGCTGAAGTTCATGGTTGCTTTTGAATATTTACCATGCCAATATCGATCAAACGTTCGCCGTACAACGTGCTGCAGTCGAGGCATGATAGATCGTGAGCGTTGCTAATTGATAATCACGTGTTCGTTTAGACAGGAGCGGGAGTTCCGTCGCGAAATGGAACAATTTAGAAAAAAAATATCGGGTCAAGCGGAAAACTAATTTAATTGAGCATTGTCTTGCTCCCTTGGCTGTCGATGATACACCAACGTAACTGTTTGGTTTTGCTATGCTCAAAATAATTTTTGACTGTACAATTATTTAGTCTTTTCACTGTGCATGCACCATAGATATCTCATAGGCTAATCTAAAATTTCATGCATATCTTGAAGCTTATAAGGCGATCAGAATTGTTGTCCAGAAGGTTGTTCTATTTTATGTGATATCATTTATTCTCTGACATAGGAGCTTAGATAAAAGACAAACCAGTGTAAGAAAATCGACATATAATAAAAAAACATATCGTGTCCTTATCACTTCTACATAATTTAACTGTTTAGTAAGTCTTTGCCAATAAATGCTGTGAGAAAGTGTCGAAGAATAATATTAAGCCAAAATAAATGGCGACGACCCATAGATTTACATCTCCGTCAAAACTTTAAAAATATATAGTCAAACAAAAGCCTATATATCTCAAAACCATATATGACATCTGAGATTGCCGCTATTTTAGACGATGCTAGCTAAGATATCTTCATATTGAACAAAACAAAATAAATAAAAAATAAACTGTTCAAAAAAATCTTAAAAGTCGTGCAGTTAGAGTTTAGTCTTGTATACAAATTTGTTTTTCCTGTTAAAATAATTTCAACTCAAACTACAAATCCTGAGCGCTTGTTCCATTGAACATATTTAAGATTTCATTTGCAATATAATTTATGCCATAACTTTGAAGGTTACAAATGGCATTATCCTTTAAACTAGTTTAACTATTGTCAGGTCTGTACCATTTTTTTTTAATAATTAAAAAAAAACTTGGGCGACGTTTAAGCTTCTCCTTTAAAGAGTGGAACGCGATGGCATTATCAGGCCCTGTTTGCATAGCCTTCCCATTCGCCGTGCAACCGTGCGTTGCACGGCGTGTCTGGCCCGCAGCCGAAGGGTCGTGGGTTCGAATCCCGGCTAAATTTCTTATATTACATTTTTAAGGGAAATTATTTACTTTATAAAGTGAAATAATTTGAGACATGCGGCGGCCTTTAATTCCCATTACATGTCAAATTTTAACCACTTTCATTTCACGCGTGACGTCATGTGAGCGTTGTGGGTTGTATGAAATTCCCGCGCCAGGTCATGGGGCTGTGACGTCATGACCCTATCGACCAATAAGGATTTTGGCGTCAAGCCACCGAAGCCGGCGCGACACAAGCTCCTTAATCCTATCGCGTTCATATGAAGTTTGTATATTTGTTTTCCTAACTTATTGTAGTTAAAAAAATGGAAGCCGTTTACAATTCCCTGTAACGCCGGTTAGAGCGCAGCTCTTGAGGAGGAAGATGGAAGCGTACTGAGGGATAGGTGACTCCTTGAGGTCACGTGACCTAAGGGGGCCCGCGTGACGTCAGGGGGGTCACGTGACCTCGGGGGTCGCGTGACTTCAGGGGGTCACGTGACCTCAGGGGGGTCACATGGCCTCAGTGAGGTCACGTGGCCTCAGTGGGTTCACGTGGCCTGAGGGGGTCACGTGGCCTCAGGGGGTTACGTGATCTGAGGCGGGTCAAGTGACCTGAGGGGGGTCACGTGACCTGAGGGGGGTCACGTGACCTGAGGGGGGTCACGTGACCTGAGGGGGGTCACGTGACCTGAGGGGGGTCACATGACCTGAGGGGGTCACTTGACCTGAGGGGGTCACGTGACCTGAGGGGAGTCACGTGACCTATGGGGGTCACGTGGCCTCAGTGGGGTCACGTAGCCTGAGGGGGTCACGTGGCCTCAGGGAGTTACGTGATCTGAGGCGGGTCAAGTGACCTGAGGGGGGGACACGTGACTTGAGGGGGGACACGTGACCTGAGGGGGGTCACGTGACCTGAGGGGGGTCACGTGACCTCAGGGGGTCACGTGACTTAAGGGGTCACGTGACCTGTGGGGGTCACGTGACCTTGCGGTTACGCCGACGCCGACGGCGACGCCGCTCAAGCCGGAAACGGGCCCCTAAGAGCTGCGCTGTAAAATACGTAGCAAGTTTTGCTGTTCTGCGAAATGTAAACAAGTCTGGTGTAACAAAAAATAGTCGCCCGAATCTCAAAATTTATATTTAATCAGTCAAAAATTCAAGAACTAAATTATGCCTCAAAAGTGATTTCACTATCGTTCTAGTCACGATCTGGACCGGAACAGATACTATCAAAAATATTTTTTAATCATCACCTTTTCTCGTTTCCTTTGAATTAAATCAACCATTTATAATTGTTATGTTTTGTATTCGAAGATAGATTTATTTAATAACAAGATAAGCGGCCGGCGAGGCGTCGGTCATCATGGCTGCCGTTCGTCTACCGTCCGTTGGTCGTGCCGCGCACGGCTTGGGCACGGTGGTGACGCGATAGGCAATGAGACGGTGACGCCATCTCCTAGCGGGCCGTGCAGTCTGCACACTACAATAATAATCAAAGCGTGTCCTTCTTCACACCTTTATTTTAATTATTTGTAGACTCGAGCTGTGAACATATTAAAATTTGACCAAATCAGGGAACGCGAAAGATCACCCTCTGAAAACGAGTGCGATCATACACAGGTGGTCTAGAGTGAAATGAACATAATTAACGTTTGTCCGTGGTCATGTATTCTTAGAGGATAATAACATGCTAGCGTAAACGCTATTGACGCGGAGTAGCATTTAATCTGCAACATTAGTCTTCTTCAAGATACTGGGCTGACCGTCGAACCACCCCTATATTCCACAAGCAGAATTGGCATTGTTAACCCTCTACTGGCAGATCAACAGTATTGTAGACCTAAAACAATTTACAAAACGAGAACCCTTCAAAATGCAAATCTGCAACTCTAAATTTAGTATTCTTGAGACACAAGTTCTTTATTAAATGTGATAAATATATTTAAAAATGTTGCAAGCTGATGCTAGAATAGCGAAAAACGCGTTCTTCGCCATTCTTTGGAGTCCTTCGTGTTGACCGCGTTCTGGCTGCAGTAGCGAAAAAAAAATTCAGTAGAAGATCAACATTTTGTAACCCTGTAGAACGTGCACATTGGATCCAAAATTTTGTTTTCAATTGTTCAATACCTCTGACATAGGCATATGTATATATCCTTAACTGGCAGATGAAAAATAAGTATTAACCATTTGTATATAGTTCAAATCAAAAAAAGAAAAATATTGCGGTAACTTTTAGTGTATGCATCTTTGTGTTGCAGAAAAGAAATAAACCATTTACACAAATTATTGACGCGTTCGTTCTTATCTAGCCAGTTGAAGGTTTAGGAGAAAAGCGTTTTTGCTGGTGGTCAGGGTATGAGGAAAGCACACCCAAGCATGCCCAGGGATAAAGCGCGAGCTTCTTTGTGCTTAGAGTGGAGTGCCCCGAAAGCGAATATAATAAATAAAACGCAAATGCAGCATGAATTCATTCTTTAAACAATGACATAGTTTGATCAATTACTCAATCAATTACAACACAGTCTAAATCAATTGAACCGCGTATCGGTGGAACTTACAATAGGCGTAAGTAATAAAAAAAAGAAGCAAACCACCACAGGAGGCCAACGTTTTATAAAAGAGGGAACTCGTGTCGTTCATTATTTTGTTTGTTTATTTATTTATTTTAGCAAGTAAATAAATTCCGATTTCTTTATTTATTTGCTCGATAATATTGTCTCTTTGTTCAGTACTTCGACATGGCATGAGAAAGAAAATTTGCCAAAATTGGCGCTTGCCTACAATTTTGTGGGCGTTAAGTGCACGAAGAAAGAAAACAAAAAAACTACCTTGTATGCGATCCTCATGCCGCCGTTGTCCGCAATATTTTCTCGCAAATTCCGCAACCCGTACAGCTGTAATAATAAATGCAAAGAAATTATATTGCCTTCTTCTAATTCGCATTATTGGTGTAGTATTTGCTATTTCTCTCCGAAATTCGCGAAATTGATATTGTACACAGAATACGTTCAGGGGGAAAGCATCCACTGTGGACAAGCGGTTTAAAATAAACAAATATAACTGAATCACAAACCAATAAAAAGCAGACACGTCATCAATCTCTGTCTTAAGTCAGTCTCTCTTACACAGTCGACCCAGAGCATGAGGCTTGGACGCCAAGTAAATACGAACATTATTTCAACCAATATTTCTGAAAGGTTTTTTTTATTGAAATAACGTCACTCGAGCAATACCACAATGATAATCAGAAACTAAAGGCTACCTTTCGTCGCCCACCTGGTACTAAAGTATCAGCGTCTTTCGCTGGCTTTCTTCTAAGTTATAATCTAGATCTCATCATTGGTCTCCTTTGGCATTACAGTCGCCCCAGAGAGACCTAAATTTCCCGTACTTGGTGCGGGAGTGCCTATTCCTTGTTAATAACATACAGTGTATTTATTTTTAGCCTCACCATTTTTTTAAATAAAGTAATAAAAGTAATATGAATGCGGTTTTAACCGCGTGTTTATATTGCTCGGCGGTCATTAGATAGAAATATAACCATCACTATTATCAAACTAAGTAAGTAAAAAGTTTTCTTTTTAATTTTTTATTACTTTAACTAGGATATATGTTTATGTTACAAACTTTAAGGTGGATGTATGCCTAGACGGATCCATTTTCTAGAATTCGCTTAACCAGCCCGTGTTCTAATATCTGTTCTCAAATTTAATACTTAACCAAATATATTTTCATTCAATCCTACAAGCCCCGCGAAAGTGGGTGCTATAGCCAAACTTCATTACATTGGCCTGAAAAAAGTGCTGAATTCGGGGACGAATATCGCAGAACACGAGCTGATTACGGGAATTCGACAAAGCAAAAATCTTGGTACACGAACGCCTAAAAGTTTGTAATATAAAGTTATATCCTTATTAAAGTAATTAAAAAAGCTTATTCGCAAATTTTAGTTAATTAGCTTGATAATAGTGATGGTTATATTACTAATATCCGCCAAGCCATATTAACAGAGTGCAAATCAGATTTACATAACTTCTTAACCTTTAATTAAATATTTTGGTGCAGCTAGAATAACACCCTGTATATAAACACAGAAAGTGTGTTTAGAAAACCGTCGTGTAAAATCGCACTACAAATACATGCAAGGCTCAATTAGCGTCACATTGAATGGGACTCACGGTACATTTACTTAAGAATAGTCAAGACCGTGGCGTCATGGCGGGATTGCGCTTTTGACTTCACGCCTAATTTGCTGTTATGAATTGCGCGTTTCCGACCTTTCTTTTACCTTCATTAATCCCACTATTGATTCAAATTTTCTTTAAAAATAATGCAGTTTGAAATCCGCTTAAGAAGGTAGATCTATTACCCGATGAATGGTGTGAATTTCTAAATCCAACAGATTGTTTCTTACATGGTGTTGGGTGTTAGATTAGTGCAGTCTTTACCTTGCATTTATAAGGTTTCGTGGAAAAGAAATGAAAAAAAATTACCGTCATGCTAGGTTGAATAATTAACTATAGATGTGTTAGTTAGCTTTAGAATCATTAGTCTCGGGGTCATGTTGCCATTGAAGTATTGACGGAAATTATTAATAGGGTAAGACCATTTGAGGAATCTACGGAAGCAAAGGTTTTTGAGATGTTAATGGATCAATGTTTGCGTTATTTTGCCGGATTTAAAAATTGCGCTTAAAAAGAGCGCATCAAGCCCTGCCCACACTATGCTTGGAAGAGTGACGTAGTTGTTTAGGTCACGTCGTCACTTGTGCTGTCGGCGCACCCTCCAAGCTCACGCTGCCGAGGTAGTAACAATATTATGGAAACGACCACGTCACTCTTCGCGCCAATATGGACGGGGATTGATGCACTATTTCTTTTGCGTAATTTTTTTCAGTCCTTAAAAAACGCGCAAGTTAGCTCACAAAAGTCTAAAAAACATTGCATTTTCACAAATTCTTTAGTTTGGTGTTACCTCTAATTGTAATTGGCTTTAATACTGCAATTCCGACATAACCCCTAGAGCCAATAATAAAAAAAGTTTACTGAGAGATCTTAGTTAAATAATCAACTTGCAGGGCAATTATTCCCTCATGTAGTATCCACCGAGCTTCCTAAGTATATGGTGAAGACAAGGGTCGTGACGCGTAACCCCCCTTAAAAAAAATTTCTTCGAATAAAAGACAAACACTGTATATTTCCGGTTTTAAAACATTTTTAAAGAGAGAAGAATGTGCGCATTTATCTAACAGTAGACTGAACTGAAATCTAGGCAATTTCTAGTATCATTGGAGACTACGTACCGGCATGCCAGCTTCTGTGTCTGTAATAGCACTGTATTGATTGGTGAAACAATGGGTCAGAGATGTGAATCTCTTCCGCACCTCGGGGCTCCACCAGTCGTGAAGCTTTCCAGTAGCGTCAAACTGGCTGCCTGTAAAAATGAACATTGTATCTAATCACATAGCATTCCTAGGAAGAGATGTATGTTTCTTTCAATGGACACTGGTACGCACTCAATGCTAAGATAATGTTGTCCCATTCCGCGATAGAAAAGAAGGAAAAGGAAGTGAACGAGGAAGAAGATTACGGCGTCGACCTAAAGATGTGAACGGACTTGGAGATGGCCCGAAAATGTCGCGGAGATTCTACAGCTTATAAGATGACGGTCAACAAGAGCCCAATGGTGAGCCCGCAGAATGAGAGGTAGCCTGGAACGGAAAACCTCAGAAAGGAAGGCGAAGGGGGAAGGGAGAGAAACCTTTGAAACATTTTTCTGACACTAAATATATTGAACGTCTCGAGCGTCTTGCTGCCGAGCGTCGTAGTTTGGTTCATTCATTTTGCGTGTTCACACTACCTCTGATTTTAAAATTTAGAAAGTGGAGACAGTTTGTCAATTTTCAGTAGTTTACTTTCATATAGTTGACGTAGTATTATGCTCATTGGGGTGTAAATTAGTTTTGTGTATATTGTATTATTTAAATGCCTGTTTATTGATTTTCTTCGGTAAACTTGAACAGTGTAGCCGCGTAATTTCTTATTGTGTTAAAAGGTTTCGTTCTTGGATATATTCGTAGCTTCTTATACAGACACCTTAAACGGTCCGTAGCATATTCTAAATAAATAATTAACAAAATAAACTGCGAAGCTCGATGGGATGTAGTTGAAGCGACGTAGGCGACTTTCGGCAGACACCAGAAAAGCCTCAAAATTATAGTTCACTTCTGGACCCATGCTCGGCCATCGCCAATGAAGGCGACTGGAAGACGCGACTTCGTCCAAGACCCTTGGCGCAGCGACGATTAAGCTACGGATGCCCGACATATGATCTCTAGAAGCATAACTGCGATGAACATCACAGAATAGTCTTGTAGTCCCATCAAAAACACTGTGCAATTCTTGAGAATTACAAAAAAATATATACTTGGGCGCTGTCCCTTTTTATTTTTGTTGAATATAAATTTTATGCATTCCGACAAATATGGTAATTTTTCTTCATTCAAGCGGTTGTGCTGAACCCGGAGAATGCAAACACACCCAGTTTAAGCGTGTGTTATTTCACCGTCTATACATTTCATGAATTTTACAGATTATTATCAACTCATAAGAGTGACTGCGTCTTTGTCTTGCGTTTGGCAGATCCCCCAAAATCTTTTGACTTTCTCAATATCACTGCCGCAATACAGTGCGATTTCGAAAAACGCAGCGTGCACCAACTTTTTTCAAGTTCTTGAAACAAGTTAAGCGAGAAACCCACTGGATTCAAAACTGCCATTACGATGTCGCATGGAAAGCCATCATTTCTTCACATTTCCAGACAGAGCCTCCTACGTCGTATGGAACTAGTACTGAAACGTAATTAATATAAATAAAAAAATAATTATAATTATAATAAGAAATAATAATATTACATGTTTATTGTACGGACACATAAAACCTGGTACAGACACGGGTTCAACAAAGCCATTTAGGGCTTGCATGATTAACACCACCTTGATTAGCATCCTGCTCGTGAAGTCAAAGAGAAAATCACAATTGTTAACATAATTTTTTTTTTCAGATACACTTTAGTACAAAAAGTTAATTTAATAGAATTCCTCACAGTATGCGACACTTAACTACAATCAAACATTGTATGGCTTTTGTGGCCGAAACCCAGCCCCCAGCGAAGGTTGGAGCGTCGGAACTACTTCATGTCATAGCAGTGATTTCACAACCTAACAGTTACTTCGATGTGATTCACCGTCACCATAAAAAAGGGGGAAAAAACTCTTTATGCACATTGAAAAAAAAGGATGAAGTAATGTTTAAAAATGTCCAGGGATTCAGCAACAAAAACAAAAGCCGGTGGTGACACACATAAATAATAAAGTAGGAAGTATGGTTTAAAATGTACAGAAGTTAAAGTCTATGCAGGTGGAGTTACCAAAACAAAGACAAAGTAGATATCGTAGGGGACGTTTAAGGTTCCAGCACATAAAATCGTATCTGTCTTCTACCAAAATTTATTGACACCTAGGTACTTCAAAGCCAGCTGTACGTCTTAGTGATCGAGATGCAATGTGATGAACTTTAAAATTGTCACTGCAGAAATATTTTAAAACAACAGTTTCCGTAAACAGAGCTTGACATAAGGGAAAATTCAATGTAGATATTGGTTCCTCTTCGATGTCGGCATCTGAGCTGTTTACGATATTTTTAAATGTTGATGTTGACAACACACAGTGGGGATCAGAAGGATGAGCAGCCCGATTCTGACGATGAATGGTCTGAAGAGTCTTGGGGTCCCCACGAGTTGAACATGGTACGAGCATCCAGTACACTGCCAAAGTTCATAGTCAGCTTAAAGATTGAAGGTAAAAAGCTGAATTTTGAAGTCGACCCTGGAGCGGCGTGCTCCATAGTAAGCGAAGCTAGCTATTGTCGTTTGTGGCCGAGGGAGCCCATAGCTCTCAGCAAGAAAACTCTTACCCTCCGCACATGTTCAAGAAGAGACTTGCTGGTGTTTCGAACAGCGAGTGTGCACGTCAGACAGAAATCTAAATACTAAATTTTGCCTTTAGTCGTGACACAATGCACAGGCTGCAGCCTCCTAAACAGAGACTGGTTTAAAAAGTTGATGACATGGGTTAGTGGGATTCATCATCTGGGCAGCGGTGGCAGCATTGAAAGCGTTTTCACGAGACAGGAGGAGGTACTGGACGCCAAGATCACGGGGCGCAAGGGTCCACCAGTGAGTTTGGAACTAAAAGAAAGCGCCACTCCACTTTTTTTTTTTTTTCAAAGCACGACCCGTGTTTTTTGAAGTGCGCGCCGCGGTGAAAGCCGAACAGAGAAGTCTCCAGAGTAAAGGTATCTTGAAACCGATGAAGCACTCCAAAAGGCCTCATCCATAATAGTTGAACGGACAAAAAGACGGAACCATCCGGTTATATTGAGATTACCGGAACAAGGTAAAAAAAGAAGCGAATGTTGCAGTATACACTATGCCAAAAGTTTCAGAAATTCTATAAAAACTACAAGGAGATTATACCCTACGCCAACAATCTCAGAAATCATAACAAATCTGCAAGGAGGAACGCTGCTTTCTACCAGGGACCCTACTCAAGCGTATCAGCAACTACAGATGACAACGGTGAGAGCGAACGTGTTAACAATACATGATAAAAGGTCTTAACAAGATAACGATAATAACTTTTAAAATCGAAGCTGCTCCAGCGATCTTCCAGCGATTCAAGAAAAAAGTGCTGGCGGGAATCCCGGGAATCGGGGTGTATCTTGACGACGTCAGCGGGGAAACCGCAACAGAACAGTTGACTCAACTGGAGACGGTACTGACACGACTAGCAGAAGCTGGATTTCGACTCAAAAAATGCAATTGTCGTTTTTCGGTTGAATAAGGCCAGTCAATACCTTGGACACAACATAGATGCTGCTGGGATACACCCAACTGATGAAGAATTGAAAGCTATCAAAGAAATGCCAGAACCAACATATCGAGACAAGCTGGAGTCGTTGTTTGAACATTTAGCGCTTTATGGCCGCTTGGTGGCAAACAAGGCAACAGTTAAAAAAAATTTCTGTACTCAGTGCTGGATAAAGACGTCCCAGGGCGTTGACAGGAAAAGCGTTGCCGTGTTTTTCGGCACCTAAAACATATTACTGCGCGGCGCACGGTTCTTGCGCAGTGTGACCAGAAAAAAAAAAAACTTGATCTTGTCATGCGACGTAAACCCATATGGCGTTGGAGTAGTACTAGCACAGAAATATTCAGACGGAAACGAAGCTACGATCGTGTTCACCTCAACAACCCTCGGCAAGGCTGTAAAGAATCACTCTCAACTGAATCGCTAGGAACTGGTTGTTGTTTTCGCCATGGACCGTTTTTCACCGCCATGTCGTGGTACGTCAGGTGACGATAACGGCAGACCACGAACCACTGTTGGGGATAATGGTCCAACACATCCAGTGCCAACTGTGCTCTCACCGCCCATGACTCGCTGGTGTGCTAAGCTGGCGGTCAACGACTACAACCTAATCTACAGAGCAGGAAAACAAAACCATAACGCTCCCGCGTTAAGCCGACTGCCGTTGCCAGAAACGCAAGTCGAAGAATGTCCTCCTGAGGATATCCTGATGTTGAAACCACTGAAGAAGCCTCCCATGACTGCAAATGAGTTTGCAGACGAAACAGCAGTGGATACCTCGCTGTTTGATGTTTTTCGTGCAGTCAAACAAGGGGGGGCCAAGAAGCTGCATGGGGGTGAGTTCTACGTATAGAGACTCGAGGCAACTGAATTATCGACTCATGAGGATTGACTTATCTGGGGTACGCGCTCGGTAATTCCCACGTCAATGAGATCTCGGGTAGTGACACTTCTTTATGCAGGACAACCCGTCATGGCAGTCATGAAACCCTACGCCCGGAGCTGCTTGTGGTGGCCCGGAATCGACAAAGAGATCGAGCGGTACGTAGCCCAGTGTGACATGTGCCAACTCCACTAAAAGAACGCACCCTAAGGCCGGAAGTCCGGCCTGGGAAAGGCCTGCAGAACCTTGGGACACCCTCTATTTAAATTTTACAGGACCAATCGAGCGACAAGTCAATCTTTGTAGATGCTCCCTCTAAGTTCGCACAGTTCAGATTATGACGCCATGTACGGCTGTTTGCGAACTGCGCAGCGTGTTTGCGACACTTGGCAAAGCACTATGAAACAACATAGATCGGTTGGTATCTCAAGAGGTTAATACTTTTTATATCTCCAACGACATTACGGCGATAACCAGCCAGCCTTAACACCCCGCAACAAACGGTCAGGCAGAGTAAATGGTGCCGCCGTTAATAAGGCCTTGGCGAAGGGAAACAAAGACGGAATATGATGTACGCTAGCTCGGTTGCTTTACAAGCAAAACGCTACGGTACACGCAGCGACGGCAAGACACCAGCGTGGATGATACTTCCTCGGGAGTTTCCGTTTCCACTGGAAGGACCTCTTCATGGGCCAAGCTTTGGACCTTCAGCAAGTTCGACAGACCCACGTCATTTTTCGGTGGGACGAACCGTAGGGATTCGTAAGTTCCCAAGCGCTCACATCCAGTGGGAGGCACGCACCATCACTCGGCGCCTGAGTTTCTGGTAGTGGATGATCGGTACCGATCAGGGGCAGACACGTACACACGTGAAATACATAGTTCCTTGAAGTTCCACGTAACAGCCGACAATGTGCAGTACGCCTGCTCCAGCGTGGGGCTTGCTCATCGAGTATGGCGAGATGCAGTCCACGCCTCAGAGGCAAAAGCCTGCTCGTACGGAACCGGCCAGACGCACCACCACCTGTGTTCGAAAACCGCCTGAAAGATTTGGAAACTCAGCAAGGTGAGGGGAAAGTGATATGTATCGGCTCGTGTCCAACCGATAGCGGGGCCTGACGCCGGCGCTTTTCTCAGCACGGGGCTGGGGCACGGGACTGGTACACGGGACTGGTGCACCGGTTAAGGATTCGAGGCGCCTTTAAAAGCGACATCCGGGCGCTGCCTAGTTTGAGCTTGAGTCCTTGCTCGAGATACATAATTTTTTGCTTGTTTATTGGAAGCTCGATATTAAATTAGACACGTCATTCATAAATACATAAAAATGTAACGGCGACAGAATAGGGTCCTGAGAACCTCCGGAATTTAAAGGAAACTTCGATAATAATATTATTATTAGTGATTGATATTTAGTAACTAATAAGATATAATAATTATTATTAATTACTATTAATAATTTCATTTTAATATTAATACGTTCAATATATTCAGACTTTAGATATAAATATAAATAAAAAATATGTTTAGTAATAATAATCGCTATTAAATAAAATAAAAAACTTAAATAATATAAATAATAAAAAATAATAATAATAATAATCGTTTGTCCAGAGAACAATTGATGTGTATCAAATGATTGGTTCGTCAAAGCCTATATTGGCTTCAATGACAGCACTCAGTAAATCAGCATAGGTGAAAAAGTAACAATATAGACATATAAACGCGCTAACAGAAGAGTTGGCTTGCCAGCCTGACACCCCCTCCCCCCCTTTCCGCACATATACACGCAAAAAATAGCCTTCAAGTATATTACAATGAAGCTAGATCTTCAAATGTCCTTAGTCAGTAATACTGTAAATCTCTTTAGGAAAAGGACTGAATACCACTAAAACAGAAAACAATCAAATTATTTTCCGTATTTTGTAATACATATCTGCGCTACAAATCGAGGTGACACTCTCAGGTGGCGCAAGGGTGTATAAAGTGCCTTAAAGTTCTCACCGTAAAATTGGTGGAGCATAACAGTATCACTACAGAAGGCACGTAGTTTCGGCATCTGCCAACCCGTAAAAAATCATCCTTGGACAAGAAAACAGATATATACGCGAAACTCCACAAACTTTCTTTTAAAATATGATCTAGTTTAGTGTGCCATGAAGTTGTGCAGTGTACAAGCAGTGTCACGCCATATCGTAATGCACTGTACCCAAGCCTGTGCAAAATAATTTTTCTTACATTTGTCAAAAACGTGTATTCTCCCCTCATACAATACCGGAAATGTCGCTTTGAGGTATATTAAATAAACAAAATAAATAAATAAATAGAACAAACACGTTACATTGTACAACATACATACATCTTTCCTTAGCACGCTACATATATGAGTCTTCTGCTTGTCCCAAGACATGTCATATTCGAACACACAGGCATTTTGTTGATTCTTCGAGCAGCCATTGAAGAGCAAGGAACAACAACATTCCAATAAAGTGCGGCTTACCAAGCGTATCGAGGCCATGAGTTAGTTCATGTGCCGAAGTCCAACCAGTCGCTCCCATTTTTACAGCACTGTGAAATGTGATAGAATAGGTAGGGACGCATCTGAGTTTACAAGAGCGTAGAATTATACCCGTGCCACAAGGGCAACTTGAATGCCGTTTACGACGAATGACATTTTTGTGATCGGCGAATCAGCTCGCAATCTGTCGCGCGTAGAATGCGCTACACCCGGAGTGTAGCACGCTGATTGGCCGTCCGCTCAAATGTCGTTCATTGTAAACGGCATTCGAGTTGCCCGTCTGACACGGGTTTTGAAATATTGTAAAGATGTATTAGAATCCAGATTAAGTCGCCCAAAAGAACAAGTTTATCTGAATTGATATATAGTAAACAGCTACTTTTAAATAACCTCTTTAGTGGCGTCCTATTTCGGCATCTGCGCTATTTCTCTTCAGAAAATAGTATACGTGACTATTTTGTGAACAGCAGATATTTTAGAATAACATATTCTTATAATTCGTGACACTCAATATCCTAAAAATCATCTATGTGCCATTTCGCCTTCAAAGGTCTATAGCTACCTGCTAGCTGTATCATTAAGAAAGTATAATCACTTACATTGGAATATCCTTCTGATAAAATGGACTCTGCAGTAGTCCTGCGTATAGAACTGTTGGAAAAATTGGTTTATATTTGAATTTTCTATATTTTCTAGCGAATTCAGCAATTTTATGGCTAGGGGCTCCCTGCATCCACAGTATGTGCAGTAATGATTCAGCAATAAGTGAATAAATGACTATGCAAATAAAGATGTAACCAAAGTAAAATTAATATATAATAAAATATAAATACACAAGAAATTAAGAATAAATGAATAACATAGCGCATTATAACGTGAGGAATAAAGGTAGTACATTGAGGTTTTTTCAATATCAGTGAACAATAAAGAAGGCAAGGAATTTATCAGCTAAATAGTAATTTTATATCACGAGAGGGCACGCCACAAGGTCTTTTAACATTTAAGTATATGCAATCTAGATATCATGGAACCTTGTAAGAAAACGCATTGGAGCGAGTATAACCGCCAGCATATTAAACCTTAAAAATTCGGTTTCATGTCAAATTTTTAAATTTGTGAGGTTGTGTTCACATAAGTTTGTTTTGTAAATACGCGCATGCACAAGACATTTCACACATTTCCTAAATGTTTTCTACCGTTCGTGTGTTTGGGCGAAATGCTGTCGCTACCGCCACAAAACCACCAGAACGCTTTGTCACCGATGAGACGCATACTATTTAAAGATGTATACGAGCAAATCACAAAAAGCACGACAGACGTATGCGAAATCCTTATTTTCCGCAAAAGAACTATGAGGCTCACATTTTTTAATCAATTTGGTTTTTATTGATTTGCGAAATCTTTTTGGGATCTTTAACGCAATTCAAATATAAAAAAGTGCATGCAATGTAATTTACAAAACACAAACAACCGATTTTGAATGTTATATTTTCATTATTTGTATATTTTCTGTGCTCATAAGCAGCAAACTTGCGTCCATGTTTCGGCTAGAATACATTAACAAAAACAAACAAAGTAGCTTTTGTTACTTTAAAATTTGGCTATCCTAGGATTTATAGCAAGTCTATGCCTTTTCAAATACCATATATAGTATATAAAGCTACCATCCCCTCGGATCCTGCAAAATGTTGCTCAAATTAGCATCAACATTTTCACTTTAACAGAAACGTCTGTCGTGGAGCATTCTGAATTTCACATTTAACACCGCATCCCCACAATTATCCAAAGCATCTAATTTTAATTGGTTAAAATAAATAATATTTTTATGGCTAATATTTTGTAGCATTGCACAGTTTTTTCTTGTTTTCTTTTTTATCTTTCGGTTGCGTGTGGTTTTTATATATATATATATATTTGCTCTTTAGCTATTTTTGTTTGGACAAATATTTTATACGGTGTAAACATGGTAACTTGATTCGGTTGATCTATTCTTGTTTGCTTGTTGCTGTTGTTCTCTTTTTGGAATATTTTGCCCGTACTGTTTTTAAAGCCTAATCTTATTATACTGGGTGATTCAAGGACAGGCCAGGCTCTTTAAATAAACCGCAAAATTCGGTTTCTTAACCTATCGCGCTGCGACTTTATGCAGCGTTGCCCACAAATGGTGCATTTGTTTGCAAAATTTGCAAGAGCGAACTTACCTGAGGAAAAGTAAAGAAAAAAAGGTTTAGCTCCTATGGAAACGCAGCGAAGCCACCGGCCTTCGAACAACACGGCGCCGTTTCGCACAGGAGACAAGGGATGGTGCAAGGGGTCGCGACGCCCACTGCCGCCACCGAACGAGCATACGACGCCGAGAGCCGGCGTCATTCGCAGACAAGCAACTGCAGTTCCTTGTTGTTACCGCGCCTATTTTTGTTCCTGCAACTGTCGCCACCTGCGGAAAGCGCGCCCCTTTTGAGTCGAAAAGAACGCCTGCTAAACACGCCGGTTCTCGGCGCCGTATACTCGTTCGTTGGCAGCGTTCGTTGCACCATCTCTTGTGTCCCGTGCGAAACGGCGCAAGTTGTTTGAAGACCGGTGGCGTCGCTGCGTTTCCGTGAGAACTAAGCCTTTTTTCTTTACTTTTTCCTCAGGGAAGTTCGCTCTCTGCAGATTTTACGAAAAACAAAATGCACCATCTGTGGGCAACGCTGCACAAAGTCGTGGCGCGATAGGTTAAGGAACCGAATTTGTGGTCGATCTAAAGAGCCTGGCCTCTCCTTGAGTCACCCTGTACATTCTGCAATAAGAAAGAACATTTGAATTAAACGATAAAATGATTCATAGATACACAAACTAGAGAGCGACCGAAGATCGCGATCTATTTGGAGCCAATATTTATCGCAATAAAAAATGCAGGGTGCGGAAGGACGCAACAAATTCAAGCGAATCCTTGCCAAATACTCTGCAATTCCAGACTAAGTTTTCCCTTATAAGGGCCCCTTTTGAGCCATCATGGCTTTCTGTGAATGCACTTCAGTCTTCAACCTTCTTCGGTTATTTCATTCAATCTTTTCACGCTTGTCCTTACACGCTGGGTTTGGCTTGGGCTCAGGCGCTTTTGTCTTTAATTAATAGTTAAAGTTTTATGGAACCTTACCTAGAGCATTTGTTTGAGGAATGTACTCTGCATTGATTATGGCTGGATCCTGTAGAATACTGGAAGCGAAAGGACAAGTACACAGCTTTATGCTCTGTTGAAACGGAATGTTAAAGTGATTAAGACGAGGCAAGGACTGAAATATGAGATAACCATACTGCCTGAGACCTATGGGATATCACGATACTTTTACTAAATTTCTCTTGTATATGTCGCATTAGTTTCGTAGATCAATTGATTTATTCTCAGGGCTTTCGAATCCAACCCGTTGCCCAGTGAATACGCACGAATTTAAATCAAACGACTCCGGAAGCCAGCCACCTCGTATTCCCCCAGGTATTTTGAGGAAATGTTTGTTTACCGGTGTACAGAACAAATAAGAAAAAGAATGAACTTGGAAATAATAAGAGACCAGAACACACAAAACACATTGGAAATAACAGGATACGCGGAGTCGCTTTCACTAGAGTGTTTAGTACACACGCGAGAGGCTTTTCAAATTTCGCTTTCCTATTTTCAACTTCATGAGACATTTTTTGTCTTAATTTTATTTGGTTTGAATTTGAGTACAAAAGTGCACCCTATTCGCCGTGGTAGATGTATTTGGTTAAAGCAGATGTCTATCAACATAAAGGCATTGTTTGAAGTACTGGTGTACTCTAAGAACATTAATGAAGGTATTTTTTAACCACTTGTACCCCACTTCGCCCAGACGCATACACACTGAACAGACTACTTAGTGACATCGTGCACAATTGCTGCCGAGGCCTGATGTACGACCAGTCAATAAAACGTAAACACCAAAGTGGCGCCCACAGATATTTCGCCCCTCAGAATATTAACGGCCCATGTTCCCGTGTTTTATGAGCACTTTGCTGATATTGAACCGAATTACGAAATATAATGCTGTGCCCTTCTATAAAAATAGTATTACAGCATTTGACTCAACGTTCGGGCAATTCGAATTTGGTTGTTTTTTTACTTAATACGCATTAATGCATTGTTTTGTAGTATTTTGCTAGTTTTTGCACAACGAAAATACGACACGTTTTTATAGACAGTCAATATAGGTGCGTTTGTGATTAAATACGTTTATATATATAATAACTAAGCTAGTGTGCAGTCAGCACAGCGTTTTCAAGAATGAGACAACTGCACGTATATATATATATATATATATATTTTTTTTTTTTTTTTTTTTTTTTTGGTGGGGGGGGGGGGGATTGGTATGCATAAAATAGGGGCTTAACGGTCACGATGAGTTGTTAACTTAAATCAGTCACATAAACAAAATGCATCAATATTTTTATGAACCCTATTGTATTGTGCTTTTCGGTAGTTGAACTTACAGCTGAAATTCGGTCGTCAGGGAAGCTGACAAAAACGTTCTCTGCTATTCGGATCACTCTCACACATAAAATTACATCTATCATTCCTTTTGCCGCGATGTCAATCACCCACATACGTATAAATCATCATGTCATGTGATCTCAAAGTGAGCCAGCTGTGTACAATTGAATGACGTTTGTAACGATGCCCTTCCGAGCTATGTTAGGTGGAGCCGTCCTGTAATTGTGATAATAACGACGCACATGCGCTCTATGTGTTCCTAGTAATTCTTCGTTATAGTCAACAGAAACTTCTTTTACCGTTTCCACGCATTAGCAAATTTCAAAATGATTCCTATGTCCTCGGTATTAAACGTTCACTTTTGTGTAGTTCGACATGCCGCGACATCAAACAATTTTGGTTTCTACGCTCGAAAGATTTATACAGTTCGAAAAAATGATACAGTAAAGGTATCATATTTTCCGATCTCAAGAGGCTAATAGTTAACGAAAACGCTCCTTATTTACTGTATCCGAACTTCAAATTTACGTGCTCCGCAGGTGCTACGCATCCCACAGTGGTGCATTAAAAAGTGCCTCACTCATGACGACCATGCCGTCGCAGCCAATTACGGCACGATTTTAATGTTACGGAGTGCTGCTATCACAACTACGCCTTTGTTTTGTGCATCATTTTAGGTCCGGGCTAGGGGCGTTCTTAAATGAGCTGATGAAATAAGTAGCATTTAAGCGAAATAAAGTCAAATATATAAATTCCGGTTTGATTGTCGCAAAATTTCTAAATTGAGCTGCCGCAGCCTAATTGCCTTCTTCAGACTGCATTTGCAACGTGGCAGTTAAAATATAAGGGAAATAGTTTTATTATACTGTTTTGAAACTTGTACAACTGGTTATGACGGTCCTGGTTGAGTCTAATATCGCCAAGTTCAACCAACACAGAGTAAGAACATTATTCATAAAATGATCATTACTTTTTTTTAATATGTATTGACAAACAAAGTCCCTTTGCGTAATCTAGTCAGTGGATACTTACACTTTGTTCCTGACAACGGTGGCAGGCAATTGCTTAAGATTTGCGTAAAAATTGTTGCGTAACGTCATGTTCATTAGTGACACGTAGCTCATGGTATCTGAAACTGTTGGTAGCTAAAAGCGGAACAGAAAGATATTAGTACTTTTTTGTAGGCTTTAATAAAACAATTAAAAAATCTTGTTGGAATACATTTCTTTAAATATTTACTTTAGAATACCTTCGTATGAGTTAATTAAATATATAGGTAAGCGAATAGACACATTAAAAAAGAAATTATACATCGATTTTTTTTTTATTGAAGTTAACGTAAAGGCCCGTTCACACTCCTGCGACCGAGTTAGACCGAGAGAGACCAGACCGGTTTTTAAGCCTCTTGCGACTTCTTAGGACCAGCTCCGCTGCATCGCTTCCGGTCCTAAGAAGTCGCAAAAGGCTTAAAAACCGATTTGGTCTCTCTCGGTCGAAGTCGGTCGCAAGAGTGAGAACGGGCCTTAACCGTGAAACAGAGACAAGGAGTAAAATTTAAAAAAATAAATTTCTAGATGATAAGAAAATAGCTTATGTATGTAATGCCACGTGCGTTGCGAAGTTGGCAGTGTGGAGGAACGGGATTCGAACTCCATGTAAACATCGTTTGAACACAGATGTTTCTTTAATACTTCCAGAACGCTTCTGGAAAGCTCCATCCCATTTCTTGGCTGCCAATGAGTGTTCTGGTTCGGAACACTCCCGAACGTTTCGCGTGTATGACGCAGCAGTAACACAGTGCTTAGGGGCAGTCCCCTTCCGACTCTGTCTCAAAATGCTTCTACCACTTCCTCGAAGTTGATAGGCAAAAGTTCGCCTCATTAAAGCTAACTTTCAGTTTCACATTCAATTCCCATATTCTGTTTGCGACATCGCATTAAAGTCCTAGTTTTATTCGTGACACTATATGAAACCTGTAATATACATGATGACAATTTACGGAAACAAACTTGATAAGAAAGGATGACAGTTACACGATTGATGTCTTCATTGTGCGTATACTACTTGGCTGATATTTGATTGTTAATTAACAAATTAAACAGAATAGTTAATGACCTTGAAATATATGGTTTATGGACTATAATGAATATCAGTATTGATGGCAATTACATTTAGAGGCTATACAAATGTAAAGAATTTGCAAAAGGGCAGAATGTCTAAATATTAAATAAGGACTTTTCGATTTTCGCTTGACTTTTCATTGGTGCGCAGAACAAACCCAGGAAGCTGTGCCTTCCTTGACACCTAAAAGAGTCAAGTGTTGGTTCCCACCACATCATCAATTCCAAGCAGCTCGTCCTTGGTGGATGCGCCGACGACACGCTTCCCAGATAGTGACGGTACGACAGAAAAATGCGTGACTCTGCTAAGCGTCATTGTAGACAGACAACAACAGTGTTGTTGTCTGCCTACGATAGCCGCATTCCTCGCCAATTTGTTTTCAATCCAACCTTATGACAGAGTGCCGTAACCTTTGTTGCCCGAATTGATAGATGAACACGCAAGAATAGGAAGAATGACTGCAATCCTATATCTACGTGTAGGCTCTTTAAAAAAGTACAACTTATACCATTGTTTTGCTCTTAGACCAGTTTTCTTTTCTTTTTTAAATAATGGCTTTTTTAACATGGTATGAAATTAAAGACGGTATTCATATCTCACTGTTTACAATCATTTTTTTAACCGAAGCGGTAAATGAGAGGTGGGATTTCTACTTATCTTAGACAAAGTATTCACTTTGAAATTCTGCACAGATTTAACGAAACTACAAAGGCAAATAAAATTGTAAGCCGTGGACGGCAGCGATTGTTCTCTACATGATAAACACCAGCCGGCAAATCTATCAATTGTTTGTCATTTCTTAAGTAATATCTAGAGTCTGCATCTATAAATAACTACTCGCTTGTTCTAGGCATAAATTTAAATTTGCATATTAAAAAAAAAAACTCTCCCGTTTTTCTTTTTTTACTTTTTTTTGAAAAAAAGCACTTTCTTGCGTCATGGCGCCGCAACGCGCCGCTATCGTGCGCCCTGGAAAATATAGATAAGCGCGGCACTCGAGAGAATAAAGATTATTTCGTTCCCTGGCACCTGGCCGGCTGCATGTTTCATGCCACATCATCTGGCGACGAGGATGGGATCCGTCTTTCAAGACGACTTGCGCTTGCGGTACTTTTATCAATCCTACTTCTGAAGAGAACACGTCTTTGTACTTCTCTAGTAGACCGCTGACTTTCTGTTCCACTTTTACACTGAGCACTTGGCTCCAGTTCAACTTCAGTTCGGCAAGCCAATCCCGACCCAAAAGGTACGGTTGCGTTCCTGGCACGACAATTACTGGCAGAGACTTTTTTTGTCCTTCGTACTCTACAACGACAGTCGCCTGCCCCCTTGTCTCTAGCTGTGTGCCGCCGTACGTTTTTAGCTCTAGCGTACATGGTCCCAGCCCACGTTGTCGTGGCAGTTGGGCGTAGACTTCTTCGTTCATAATAGATACGGCTGCTCCGGTATTTATGTGCATGCTGACCGGCCGCCCTGCGATCTTGACTTCCACCAGATAAGGTTGCTGCAGCTGCATGCTATCTCGAATGTGGAAGAGTTGCAACTGGTCATGCTCGCGCTCCGCCTCTAACGCGTTAATGGGCTTCCCTTTCCGCTTCATGCATGCTTTGGCTAAGTGCCCGACGTTCTTGCACCAGTGACATTTTGCTCTGCGAAACTTGCAGCTGCTGGCGTCATGCTTTTCTCCGCATCTATAGAAGCTGCCGTTTGAACAGAAACTTGAAGGTGCGCTCACCTTATTCTTGTGCTGTGGCCGGCCCTTTTGGCTGACTGAATTTACGCTCCCTTCTCCTGGGACGACACTCTCTGACGGTCTAAAGCCCTTGGACTCTTTCTCGGCGAGTTCGGTGGCTCTTGCAAGCTCGCAGGTAGTCTCGAAGTTCAACTCTCTCTTCTTAAGTAGCGCTGCTTGAATCGCTGGATTCCTGAGACCTGCGACAAACCTGTCGCGCAAAGCGTCGTCAAGGAAGTTTCCGAACGCGCACTTGGCTGCCAAGTGTCGTAGTTCCACGGCAAACGTCGAAACTGACTCGGTTTCCAGCTGGTATCGACGGTTAAACTTGAACCTTTCTGCTATTACTTGGCTTCCTGCAGCGTAGTGTTCTTTCAAGACTTGTACCAGGTCCTCGAACGACTTGTCCTCCGGGGTTGCAGACAGCAGCAGGTCCTTCACGGTTTTGTACGGGCGTCTACCGCGGGCGGTGATAAAGGCGGACTTCTTGACGTTGCTGTCTTTGATCTGGGTCACCTTCCAGTAGTGCTCGAACCGCTCAATATACGAGTTGAAGTCCTCGTCACCGCCTTCCACGTAGGTGTCGAATTCCCAAACTTTTGACGTTTCCCCGAAGCTTTGTAGCTTTGTCGACCCTTCACTGACGAGAGCGGCGATCTGTTCGCCCCCATCCTACAGTAGTAGTGCTCTTTTCATTTGACGTCCATTACGTCTCCCACTGGAATTACACTACCTAGATGAAGCGCTTTCTATGTTTTCCTTACCATCATAAGCACTATTGTTAACAGTGCGGGTACAATAAGTTGTGATATCTGCGATAATTTACCTATTTCTTATATTTTAATACTCACGGGTCAACAAGAGCGCCAGAAAACCATTAGAATGAACGATATTCTCATTTGCTAACAAAATGTATATTTACATTATTTACAAAAGAGCCAAAATCCAAAGACCGTGGAATGCGGACTGCGTAGCCCTCCACCTTGTCATCTCGAGCCCTCGCGTGCAAGTGAGGATGTTTTCTCGTAGTGGTGATCTTCGTCTTCCTTCCTCGCTGCAGCATGACGCTACAGGTACTCCTACCCCCTAACGTGGAAGTGTAGGAGACGAGTGACCAGGCGTTTCTTTGAAGTGTACACGTCGAACTATTGTTGGAGTTGTGTGTGCTTGGGGTTGCTCGAGGTATGCTGGTTTTATCCTGTCGAGTGAAATTGTATCGTCACGTCCTTTCACGAGCGCAGTGAAGTACTTGTCGCCGGGTTTTAAAACTTTAAATGGTCCTTGATGCGGGCTTTGCAGCAAGCGTTTCACAGCGTCTGTGCGAATGAACACCTGAATGCAGCGTGATAGTTCCGGGCTGAGGAACTCCTTGCGAGAGTTCCGCTTTCGTGTGGGCGTAGGTCGTAGTTTCTCGAATGAGGAACGCGGACGGCTTGCGTAGTGCTCTGCTGTTTTGGTTTCGATGCTGGTGACAGGTGTTAGAAACTCATCAGGGATGCGCAGAGGCGTGCCGTACACCATTTCTCCTGCACTGAATCCCAGGTCACTTTTTAGCAACGTCCACATTCCGAGTATGATGAGTGGTGGAGTTTCCGTCCAAGGCGCGGCGGTACCTTTCGTCTTCAAACTGGCCTTTAGCTGTCTGTGAAACCGTTCCGCAATTCCGTTGGAGAAGGGGTGATAGGATGTAGTGTGGCTATGCTTTGTACCTAGGACCCGCGAGGGGTTCTGGAAGAGTGTGGACTCGAATGGTCTTCCTCAGTCTGTCGTGATGGTGGTTGGGATTCGAAAACGGCTAACCCACATGCTGACGAAGGCGCGCGCTACGGCTTCAGCTGTTAGTGCCTTGATCGGTGTTGCTTCAAGCCACCTCGTGAAGCGATCGATGCAGATAAAAATGTACCGACAATCGTCGGCTGGCGGGAGTAGTCCCAATATCTCGAGGTGAATGTTGCTGAACGTCCATCGAGAGGTGAACACTTGCAGAGCGGTGTAGTTGCGTGCGGTGAGCTGACCAACTTTCGCGCGCTGGCATTGCACGTACGCGTGTCCAATTGCGAATGTCGGTGTTGACCTTAGGTCAGATGAATTGAGCAGTTATGAGATGTTTTGTGGCTAAAATTCCTGGGTGTGAAAGTGAGTGATTTGCTTCCAAAATAGGTTTTCAGAACTTTTCGGAAACATATGTCTTCGGTTTACTTGTCGACACATCCCACACCAATGTAGCTTTGCATTCCGGAATCATTATGTCTCGGAGGTTCAGTGACGTCGCTTTCATAGATGCGGTAGTGT